TCAAAGTTGTTGGTTTTTTATTTTATTTTTGTATTTATTTCTTTATTTAAAATTGTGTGCTGAGGTCTTTTGGTTTTAAGTGTACAAATAGCCTCTTTGTCAAGCAGGAGGTATTGCTGTCATTTAGCTGAAGGTCTCTCTATTCTCTACTCGTGTAAGAAGATTGCTTCTGAGTGAGGATTTTGAGAGGTGGATAGCTACATAATACATGAATTGCTGTGGTTTCCAAAATTACAGACCTGTAAGGTCTAATTCATATAGGTGTTGGAACTTGTTCAGGCATCATAATATTCTTGTCAATCTTACTGTCATTACTGATTTAGCCAGGAATTATTTTAATCAACATGAGTGGAAGAAATAATAATGTTCCATAAAACTGTTGAAGTCACAGTTGAGTTATGCTTAGAGTTACATTAGTATGGCAACTGTATCAGAGGAAAATTAGAATCAGATTACTTTTTAGTTATGGAACAAGTCTAGTCATATTTGTTCATGAGAATATTTTCTCTCTTCACAAGCTTCAGGCAGTACTGACATTCTTACACAGGTCAATGTTTTTTTATGGAGATCTGCTTCACATATCACATATTTTTCTTCCTGAAGAAAGAAGCAGCATTTGAAGAACATCTTGGAGTCTTGGACTTGGTTGAATTTTTTGCAGATCTGGCTGTTGGTTGGCAACTGATGTAGCAGTTGTGCTACAAGATGATTGTGTGTGGCTTTAGGAGTTGTGTAGATAGTGTTTCTATTATTGCTTGCAATGTTTGATGTTATTCAGAAAAGAAAGCAGGTAATGTTTTTCTCCTTCATAAGCTAGAAAGGTTGCACCATGTGGCATTACGGCGTTGCATTCTCCTGGTGATAAAATTTGGGGAATTCTTAAGTTTGTTAATCCAGGTATTTAAAGGGAGATGTCAAAAGCTTAAAAACTGAAATGTTCACTGAAAATGTCAACTCGGCTGGCATTCATGCTTCATTCTGGCCCTGAATTCTGGTATCTTAGAGTGAGACTATATCCATTAACATGCTCTCAGCTTTGGAGAAGGAATAGAGATGAAAGACTGAGTTACCAACATAGGTGGTTGAAAACGCTGCCTTAAATGGTTGCATGTCCTAAGTGTTTTCCTAAAAAAAATAAAAAATTTCTCTCTTCTCAAATACCCAATTTGCATTTCTGTTTCAGGCCAGAACAAAATTTGCTTTATTCCGGGGATGGTTGGACCTATCTTGGAAATGACTCTTATTCCAGAAGTTGAACTACGAAAAGCTACAATCCCAATTTTCTTTGATATGATGCTGTGTGAATATCAAAGGACAGGAGAATTCAAAAAGGTAATTAAAAATGCTCTGTGTGAAAATTCATTAAAATTTCATGAAGCCACTTTACTTCTGGTAAATATTAGTTGTGTGGACTTTTCTGCTTACAGAAAGTAAGATCCAAAGTATTAAGAAGAAAAGGAAGAGCTCTTGTACAAGTGAGTGTAGGCTCTCCAGAGTGATTTAGCTTTTACTTAGGTAAATGCTTTTCATAGGAAAGTAACTATAAGTACCTCACTCATATACCCAGCTGTGTTTAATACTTTAAATCATGTGGGGCATTTCTATGTCAACTGAGTGTGGAACAGAGGAGCAGATGGAATTTCAATTTTGGTCTGTATTCCCCAGTGCAAAGCTTTTGGTTCAAGACCAAGATTAAACACCACTTTGTTTCTGTGCATCTGTTCCCTCTATGTCCTAATACTCCTATATTTGCTGCCTTAAAAATGTTTTCCTTCTTCTTGGCTTATACTTCATGTCTTGGGAGACCAGATATCCTGAAAACTCGTCAGTTATACTGACTGATTAACATGAAGAACAGCTTAGGAGCCTGGAAGATGCCAGACACTTAGGTGACCTTTAAATCACTTCTTATGCTAATATGAGTAAGTTTCAGGTGATATTTTTTCAATGCTGAGGAACAAGGACATTCATTTTATTGCAGCTTAAAAGTAAGAGTTATTCTTTTATCAGAGGGCACTAAAACTATTTCATAATTGAGCAGCCGAGTCTCATTGGATTCTAAAGTTCTGCTTCAGAAATTGTGATCATTTACTGGTCAAGAATTGTGGGGTTTTATCTTTCCTTTCGTATGGATGAGGTAATGAAGATAAATTTCTTAAACTTGCATCTGTAAATTTGGCAATTCTGGTAAGTTTTTTTAAAAATCTATTTTAAAGGAAAGAGGCATTAAGTTTTATTACTTAGTTTTTACCGTCTTGATTAGGAAACGCAAAGAATTAATATGAATGGAAAATTATTTGATACACAAACTTGTAGTTTTTGCTAGTGGACAATTTTCATGTACAGATTAGCATTTATTATTAGTAGTATATTAGTACTATGTTTTCTTAAAGCTTTAATATCCAGTTTTGGGAATCATACAATGTTATTTCAAGACTGCCGTAGGCAATCAGGAGTCTAGATTGACATTCACTTAAAACATAATTTTGCTGAACTTTAAATAATTTCTTTAGAATCTAATCCTTTCTAATGAGGGAGGCGAGGGGTAAAGCACAAAGACAGTCTTTGTGCTTTGATCTTTACCAGTCAGTACCAGTGCTGGAACTAGAGCTTGTCTGGTACCTGCCAAATGACTTAATAAACTTTACCGGAAAGACTGATTTCATGAACTCCGTGTGGTTCTGTGCTGAGACATCTGTTATGTTATGTTGGTGCTTGCTCAACAGTCTGTGTCCTGCTTTATTCATACAATATATGTGCGGTAAGGAGATGAAATTACTTAAATTAAGCAAGGAATTTTACTTTATTTAGCTATTTCTAGGAAATCAACTAATCCCAGAGAAAACAAAATTCCACCTCTAGTTATCTCCAAAATATAAAATACATATACACACACTACTATACAGGTATATATTTAACGGAATGGAATATGTACATAGGTACATGGCATACTAAGACATTTTCTTCACCATCCTTCCTTTCACTTTGCACACAACACTTCACGCAGGAGGAGCATTATATGAGTTTGTGATTTTAACTCTGATTGAAGATGTAAGGATGAAGCCATTAACGCCTACTAATTTTAGCCATCGAGACTCTATCTGTCATTAGGTCAGAGAGCAAGGAATCTTGGCAAGGCAATTAATCCAACTTACATTCAGTGTCTGTGGATAGAATTAGTCCTGCAAATACATCCCCTTCTTCAAATATAAAGGGAAGCTATGTGTGTTGGACACATGATGTTAAAAGAATCCCATCCTCCAAAGGTTGATAACTGATCTTTCCTTGAAAGATCAGGTTGTGTGTTTTATTAAGACTTGCCAAAGACGCATTGTCAAGCAACCTAGTGCAGTTTGTCCTAACTGATAATCTGAGGCCAAAAGCTAGAAAAGACTTACTTAGAAAAACAAACAAACAAGTTTAGCTCTTGCAGAGTAAATGAAAAAAAAATCATTTAAATAAACATGGATTCAAGTTATGTTAAGGATTTAATTTGGCTTAGGGAAGTTTAATTAATCTGTGTTTGTATTTTTGTTCAAATAAGGCATTCTGTTTGTGTTTGGTATTTTCAATTTAGCATCTCTCATAGGTTCCACCCATTGCTGAAGCCATCTGGGGAAGTTTTCTGTATTTGCTTTCCTGCCTGCCTGTTGTTGGGCTGTGTCAGAAAATAGTGCTGAGGTGGTGTGTTCTTGGGTGTGTACACAGCTGGTGGTAGGGTCTGAGGCCAGATGTTTATTTTCAGTGAACCTATTGCAGTCTCCTATCTTCCTGAGCTAACAGCTGGAAAAGGTTACTGAATGAATAAATGTAAGTGTTTGCAGCAACTCCTCTGGCACATGTGATTTATAACTGATGCAAATACTTGTATTTCTTACTCTCAGTTCTTGAAATTTTATTATGCATAAGAATTTCAGAAGGATGTGAGATCATCCCATTGGCAGACCCATGTGGAAAAATATTGAGATGTTTTGGGCTTTGGTACTGAAGTGTGTTTAAAGATGTGGAGATTTCCTGGATGTATTAAATAGATAAACAGGCTGGTTTAAAAGCCAAATTGTGCCAATGGCAATTGAGCGCACTCTGTTTAAGTTAGAGGGGAAATACCCTTTCTGGGGCTTAATTTTGGCACAGACATGTTAAACCTTAATTGTGTGTTTCTGCCAGCTTCTTTCTTTATTTTGGTTCACGCAACTGGCTTTTTGCAGCTTTTTGAGAAACTGCAGGAAAGATACTTAGGAAGAGTGGGTTTTGTTCAGATCCAGCATCTGAAATTATTGCCTCTTAGAGAAGTAATCAATTCTCTACCTGCTGAATAAGTACCAGGAAGGATTTAAGAGGCAGATGATTTTTAACTGGTGCTTGTCTTGCACTGTATCCGGAGATTTCTGTCTCGCTGCACTAAGTCCACAGACTTCAGCTCTAGAAGATGCCTGCATTGGATGTTTTTATTTAATATTGCCTTGTCCTGAAACTGCCATGTACCTATGTTACCCATGTTACTAACACCCATATATTCACTAATACACATCAAAATTAATTCGGAGCCCTTTAAACTTCTTTTTCAGCCTGGACCAGCCAGAGTAATATTTTTTTCTCTGTTTCTCTACGTTTCTCTGTTCCACTGGCAATCTTTAATCTGTGTTCTAATTACAGAGAAAGAGCTAATATTAGAGCAGCAAAAGCTGGAAGTAACAGGACAGAGAATTGTTCTGGATCACAGAGTATTGGTACTCCTAACAAACCAAAATTATTTGTGGCCTTTTAAGAAAAAATAAGGTTTCCACAGATTTGACACTGCTATAAAAAAATAATTAAGAAATAGTACTAATGTAGCAGTCCTTCCCTTCTACTCAAATCAGAAAGTGGGATTGCTGTTGATACTGATCAGTTTATGTTTTTTTCTGAGCACTTTATGGGAAGTGTGTCTTAAATGGGGACTCAGAGATCTGAACATCAAACATTTTGAGGAGCGGTGTAGGGCCTACTTAGTATGCCACGGAGATGAAGCATTTACTGCCAGATTCTGTTGAAATAGTGGATGACTGCGTGCTGCTTAGTTCTGCTGGTGTTAATCCTACACTGCTATTAATGTTTCTCATATGCGTAGTATGCAGGCTTGCAAATTCACACTCGGCAATGACCCTTTATGCATCTCACTGATAATAAATAGCAATATATTTTCTCAGTTTCCCCCTTCAGCCAGACAGCAGAATATGTTAATCATTTTGTGTCCATTTAAAACAGTACTATTCATGTTTTCATGAAAATTGCTTTCCTCCTCAGTCATCTTAAAATACGGTGTAGCTGATGCTGAGCTGGGGAAGTCACAGAATCACAGAGCGTTAGGGATTGGAAGGGACCTCAAAAGCTCATCCAGTCCAATCCCCCTGCCGGAGCAGGAACACCCAGATGAGGTTACACAGGAAGGCGTCCAGGCGGGTTTTGAATGTCTCCGGAGAAGGAGACTCCACAACCTCTCTGGGCAGCCTGGTCCAGTGCTCTGTTACCCTCACTGAGAAGAAGTTTCTTCTCAAATTTCAGTGGAACCTCCTGTGTTCCAGTTTGTGTCCATTACCCCTTGTCCTGTCATTGTTTGTCACCGAGAAGAGCCTGGCTCCATCCTCGTGACACTCACCCTTTAAATATTTATAAACATGAATGAGGTCTCCCCTCAGTCTCCTCTTCTGCAAACTAAAGAGACCCAGCTCCCTCAGCCGCTCCTCATAAGGGAGATGCTCCCCTCCCTCCATCATCTTTGTGGCCCTCCGCTGGCCTCGCTCCAGCAGTTCCTGTCCTTCTTGAACTGATGATCCCAGAACTGAACACAATATTCCAGATGCGGTCTCACCAGGGCAGAGTAGAGGGGAAGGAGAACCTCTCTGCCCTACAACCACCCCCCTCCTGATACAGCCCAGGATGCCATTGGCCTTCTTGGCCACAAGGGCACAGTGCTGGCTCATGGTCATCCTGCTGTCCACCAGGACCCCCAGGTCCCTTTCCCCTACGCTGCTTTCTAATAGGTCATTCTAATAGTCTCTTGTCTATGCCATGGTATAGTGCGTATACAACTTGTATCCAAGTTCCTGTGTATCACACAAGCCCCTGTGAAGAGTTTAAATATTTCTTATTGAAGCATATCTGTCTGGTGCTGTATTAGAACCATACAAATAATTCTGGTTTCACACATCTGCAGCTGTGTCTTCTTTGTTTTGACTTTTAAGAAATATGAAGTGGTTGAAATTGCTTCTTCCTCCCTGCCCCTTCTAGAGAAGAGGGGATCTGTATTGCCCGGATCTACGTTGCCTAATTTTCTGCATCTAGGATTTTTGCTTTTTGTGTGATGAGTGTAGAAGTTAGGCCATTCAAGACAGTGTTACAAAGCTCCTTGAAAGAAGCAGCAGCCCACTTCAGTCTTCTGTCTGAACAGTGGTTTGCGGCATTGGGATGACCCAGTAGATCTGGGGTTGCATGCATAGCTTCCTGATGAGTACTTGTTGAGTAACCTTTCTGGTTCTGTCTCAGTATGGAATTGTTCTCATTCTCATTACTGTGAGAAGGTGAAACCTCAGAAATTCTACAGTGAATGGGTAGTGAGCGTGTAACATCTGTGAGTCGTCTTTAAATTTGAATAGAATGTGGGTTTTTTTGTTGTTGCTCTTGGGGATAGATCTAAGGATTAAACACAGATTTTTACATATTATGTACCTTATAAAACTGTTTCTTTAAGAAGCTGTTTTAACATAATTGCAGGTCTTGATTTTAGGGGCAAAATAATTTAATAAACTTACATTCTGGGATAACTTTGATCCTTTACATTTTCTGATCCTGTTTAGCTGCATCTCAGGACAAAAATGAAGGATATCAAATATTCTGGAGAAAAATGGACAATGCTTGGCCTTCGTTCTTGAAAAACACTGAGCAGTTTTTGTGGGTGGAGAGTTTTAATCATGAACTACTTGAAGGAAGTACGTGTAGGAACATGGTTCAATTAGGATGTCCTGTTCTCTATAGCTGAAGGAATTGTGCCTTCCAAGACATAAGTCTGAAGATATGCATGACCTGCTTAGTGTTTGAAGGGGAAGAACTATTTTGTTATACGTAGCTTCGGACTTGGCTTCTTCAGCTCAGGGCTGAACTTTTTAATGAGGATTTATTTAAATAAAGAAAAATACCTTGCATTACAGTTATCTGCAGTTATTACTGCATATAAAATACTATAGTAATGCTTTCTACCATAAAAGGCTTCTGGTCTTCTGAGGGAATAATCTGGATCCCAGGCTGCCAAAGCTCTCAGTTACACAGAAACACTCCAGGGAGAAAACAGAATTATTCATGTACTGAAAATGTGTGAAAGAAAAACATAAAAATTTGCTGTGTTAGCACAGTTATTAATTCGCTGTCATTTTTCCATTTTACTTTTAACAACTGCATCTATGTAAAGCAACAGAGCTTTATTTCAATGAAGGTCTAGGTTTTTCTAATGTTTTCTCTGTGCCTGTAGGTGGTTAATGGCTTGCCTAGAACCTTGTGGTAGATTGTTCACGCTTCTTGAAATTATTATGCCAAGGTTTCTTTTACACGAAGCTGGATTTTATTAGGACAGAAGTTCTTCCTTAGCACCTGGAAAAGTCTGTTCATCTCTCACTAGTGTGTGTGCCTACTCTCAGAGCGTGAGCAGTCTGCCGTTTTTAGTATGTCTGTAGTTGATGCACGAACAAACATAAAGAAGCGGTATTTCCTTTCCAGTCCCTCACCACAATGCATGTAACAATGTGAAACATTCAGTACTTATGTGAAATATTAGAAATGAGAAATGAATATAAATTTTGCCACGTCTGAGTAATTTATTCATATGATATGCAAAGATTTTAGTAGAAATCCTGGGGTGAAGGGATTGAGATGTGTTGTGACTGCATAAGGAGGACATTGAGAGCCACATTAGAAAAGTTTAAAAAAGCTTTGGCATTTTCTTTATCTGTGTGAAAAACTTTGAAAATAAGTTTTATCTTTTTCTGAATACTGTGAGATCTTGTTCCCTTACCTATTTATGTAAAACTACCTGAAGTGTATATGAGAGATTGTTACAGGGGGTAACAAGTAAATAATATAGTTAACATCTTCATATACCCAGCTTCAGGAAATTTATTACAGGAATGACTGAGCCCAGGAGCTAGGTTGAAATTTGATCCCAACTCTGCGATGCAGAGCTTCTCTGTTAGCCAAGTTTGGGATAAAAGAAAACCTAGAAGCTTTGCAGTTTTGAGAGCTGGCTGATTAGTGATAGCTAACAAGGTGTGACCAGTGGAGAAATAGTAACTGACAGGGAGAAAAGGTACTTTTTGGCCTTACAGGTAGAGAAATAAGGCTGCTGATGCCTCCAAATGATGCAGTGTCATAACTGCAAAGTAAAATTGAAGAAATGGTGCCGTAGAGGGGAAAGAATCGTGTTTAACTACAATAATTGTTTGTTTGCTGTCTTTATATGTCACTGTTTCCTAATTAGGGTTTAGACAGACCTCGCAAAGAGCAATCAAATAAGGTATTGCATGCTGTAGCATTGTTCATACTTTATCTGGGTGACAGTGATTCTACTTGCTCTGAAATCATGCATTTCAAATCAGAGATGTTCTGTGAAAACCCACAATACAGACACTGGAAGCCTGTTTCCTCAGGTTGTTATCAGTCTGTACTACTCCAGGTGTCTGGAGATAAGCGGATGTGCATTATTGTACTGCAATATGTTCAAGCATTTAAGCCTTGGGAATATGTGTTATGACTACACAAAGAGGTTCTTATTATGCCATATTGAAATGCCTTTGACCTCTGGATATCAGCTCAGTGTTGTGATTTTTCTTTCCTTATTAGTTTGAAAATGAAATAATTTTGAAGCTGGACCATGAGGTGGAAGGAGGACGTGGGGATGAACAATACATGCAGTTGTTTGAGTCCATGTAAGTACTGTACAGCAATAAATGCCTTCAGGATTTTTATCTTACTGTTCCCACTTCTCAAGTTGATAACCTCACTTAAAAATAAAATAGAATCTTAGCAGTGTTTTTTATGAAGGGACTGGAAGTACCGTACTGTTTCGGTAAACCTGGGTTGCATTGTGGTTTTTCTCATTGAAACGATTTTCCTGGTTGCAGTTCAGTGTTTTATGCTCCAGCTAAATTATGAAGAAATCACACCTAACCTGCACTTCTCTGTCCAACTTTCAAGCGAAGATAATTAAATATTCACCCTACTTTTCAGTCTTTCCCCACTTTGCTTTATAACCTTTCTCATTTTTATTTCACACTAGTAAGAAGGTGGTATTTTAAAATGTCTCACTTGCTTTTCTTGATGAGTCTAGATGAACTCTAGATTATTCTCTGAACTTACATAAGGTCACCGTTGTGGAATGAGAATATTGCAAAGTGCTACAGTTTAATAAAAATCTTTCTGTTGCTATATTTCTGACTATCCCAAAGCCTGATACACTATCTCCTCCTCTTCTTGGCTGCACACATTCAGTTTTATTCTCAGACTTACTAGCTGTGCCTTCACTGGTGGAAGGGTGTGTGTGTGATGTATTGGGCAGGGGGCAAGCCTTGCACCTACCTCGGAAAATTTGTTCCTGGCTTTGTGCCTTAGACTGTAACAGTGTGAAAGTAAATCACTCATTGCACGCTGTCTCAAGCTTTGATGAGTGAAGTATAAAAATGCCGTAGCACAAAATTGAGACAGGTTTTATGTTTTCATTGTCTCAAAGCCTGCTACCTTGCGTGTGTTGTACTTTTGTGTAGGGGGAGCAGTCTTTGCAAAGTCACATTCCTCACCAGATGAAGCAGGAAATCTTTGTGCATACCACAATGGAAAAAAGTCCACTTTCAGTGTAAACATAATGTTGTAATAAATACTGAATTATATAATCAATAATACGTAAGTGTTGTTGTAAGTCATGTAATTATATTCTAATTAATAGTAAAATTTAAAAAAACATCATTTAAATCAAACATAATTTAAATGTTTGCCGTCAGTTTAATTTCTGTCCTATGAGGAGGCAGAGAAAATATGGAGAGGCAGAGTTGAAAAAAGTAAAAACACTGACACTTTTTAAGCAATATAAAACTATCTGAAACCGATTCAGATGGACCGATGAAGTTTTAAAAATGTCTCTTTCAGTTCCTAACACACAATGATGATGTAAACTGAGATCAATGAAGTAATTGTTCAATTCTGAACGTTTAATGTTTGGCTTCAAGTCTTAGGATAGCTGAGAGGTGATGCAGAGATGTTCAGCTTAGGTCTTGGTACGACCAAAACCAGGCTTGCAAGTACAGAGTTTTCTTAATCACGCTGCTGCACAGCCTCAACCGTGGTGCCTGCCCGAACAGTTCTTCAGCTCCAGTACTGGCAATTCAGCTGACACAGTGCACATTTATTGCAGGGCTAAACTTTCTTGCTGCTGGTAAGGTTTTTTTCCCAAAATATCTGTACTAAATCTTCCTTGCCTCAGTTTAAGCCAGTTATTTCTTGTTTTATTCACAGGGGACATAAAGAATCATTTATTCTGTTTCTCTTTGCAGCAGCTTTTAACAAATTTGAAAGTTGCTGTCAAGTTTCCTTCGGTCTTCTCTTTGGGGTAAACAATCTGAATATTCCAGTTTATCATATGCAGTGTTTTCTGGACACTCCTACAATGTCTGCATCTATTTTGAAATACTACACTGCCTTAAAGCTGGAGAGAGTATTCAAATGGAGACTTTGTCCATGCAGAGAGACAAGCTTCCTTCAGTTCTTGTGTATGAAACTCTTTGAAGTTACTTTTTTCTGAGCTGTTTAACGTTATTTGCTGGTCTTGTTTGCAGTTTACTCTTGCATTTAAATATTTTTCTACAGAACTGGTATCTGTCCAGTTAAACCCCATCTTTCAGCAATGAAGTTAAATAGTCTCATCAAATGTACTGTGTAGCTTTAGATCTTCCTGCCTTTCCAAGGTACCCTTCTTTCTTTGACATAGCTGCTTTTTTTCCCCTCCTTATTCTAGAGGATTTCAAGTTCAAGGTTTCCACATTCCTAAAGATGTCACTTCATACTAGCTTTAGATAATACTTTTGTTCCATCCTTGATGATGACTGTAGAGGGACAGGTGAAGCAGAGGCTGGTGACCTGTCCGTGGTAGGACCCTCTTCTCTTGTTTTTGTTTATTTTGTTCTGAAACCTTTCAAAGGTTTTGAATCCCTTTCAAAGCAGGGATTTCAAGCCTCTATCCCCAGCTCCCTGTTCCAATGGATAAAGGCCCAGTTAAATTTGGGTCCAGAATTATTAATTGGTCATATATTCATCAGTTTATTTCCTGTAACTGTCCGTGTTCCTGCACAGTTCCAGTTCCCACCTGAATGCAGGTATTTAGCAGCAGTCAATGACTGTCCTGTGTGTTGATGTTCGCCTCTGTAGCCACCACTTACCCATGCGGGTGAGTTACTGGGGACTTCCCCATGCCCAGTAAACTACATAGGGTCAGCAGAAGTTTAAGCACTGCCTTGCACTTGCTCTAGTCCTGAATGTGACAGGGTTGTGACCTGTGCTAACAATTGCCATCTCAGACAGTGCCAAGGAGGAGCTGGATAACGTGGCACAGAGGAGAGACTGTTTTCTATAGGCCGAATAGACAAGGCTTCCCTGTGCTGGGAAATGGAGGTGAATGCAGCTGTATGAACACAAGTTGTGCTGTGCCACTTGTCCTCAGGCGCAGCAACTGAATTCTGGCATGTTTTAGTTACTAATACGGGCAAAAGGAAAGAGCATCAGGAAGCTTTCCAGTTCCCTGTCATTGCAGTGGCCCATGTTATGCAGTTGTTCTCTTGAGCTTTATTGGAAATAATTTTTATTTTTAGACTTCTACTTTTTCAAGCTCTGTTTGAAAATTCAGAGGTTTATTGCTCCCTCCTGGGGAAAAAATATCTTCTAAAGTTTTATGGGTCCTTTTTTATTGAGATTATTGTATAAAGCTGAGCAAGACAACTTCCCTCACGAGATAGGCATTCCTCTCTCCTGTTCATTTTGTAGTTCTCCTCTATGTGTACTCCAGTTGATCCTCCTTTAGTCACTGGAGTTACGTACTGCATCCTGGGTGAGATCTAGCAGTAGCTTTTATTTTATGTCAGTGTTTTTCTACTTCTGTGGGAAAGAAATGTGATGCCTTGGTGACTCACGTTCATTTCACAGTCAAGTAATGCTCATAGATCTGCCTTGCTTGCTGCCAGTCCAAGTGAACCTATGGCAAAAATTCATCATAGTCACCTAAATGGTGACTGTACTTTTCTTAGCATCTTCACCCTGTTTCTGATACTCATGTATGTAAAATATGCCCATTTTTCCTATATAGTATTCCAGTCTCCTATAGGATTCTGAGGCTTTCTTACTTCCTTTTCTACAAATATAATTTCATGCACTCCATCCTATACTATCAGTTGTCAACTCTGAAGATCCTTTAGCATTTAGCATTCTGTTTGCAATGTATTTGATATCATAAGCTGTTTTTCAATAATTTATTTCAATAATTTATTTAAATTTGTTTCAGACTAGTCAGTTAGTATGAAAGAAGTTTAAATAATTCTAATTATCTTTGCAATTAATTAAAACAATGTTTTCTAATGAAAATTTTAAAAATATGTGTATTTAAAGATTAATAATAAATTCCTAAATGTATTTGCATATAAATTGGGCACTGTTATTGAAACACTGAGAAGTCGGAAATGAAGAATAATGTGTCACTGAAACTGCTCAGGTTAAGCACACAGCATAGTTTCAGGGATAATTTCTTAATTGCTACTTTGTTTTTACAGTTTTCCTGTGAGATATGCGGTGATTTTGACGTAGTGATATTTTATTGCTGAGTAGATGTTGTATGGTATGGAATATCCCTTTGGTCAGTTTGTCCTGGCTGGGTCCCCTCCCGAGATCTTGCCCACCCCCAGCCTGCTGGTCACTGGGGGTGAGAAGGGGAGACTGTTGGAGAGGCAGCCTTGGTGCTGTGCCACAAGCACATAGCCAAAGCACTGGTCTGTTCCAGCTGCAGGTGTGAGGCACAGCAGTATGAGGGATGCAGTGGGGTAAATTACTCCATCTCAGCCAGACCCAATATATATGCATATGTGAATATATGTAAGTGTGTGTGTGTGTGTATATGTGTGTGCATGTGTATATATCTATATATGTGAATATATATGTGTGTGTGTATATATGTGTGTGTGTGTATATATCTATATATGTGAATATATATATCTGTGTGTGTGTATATATCTGTATATGTGAATATATATGTGTGTGTGTATATATCTGTATATGTGAATATATATGTGTGTGTGTATATATCTGTATATGTGAATATATATGTGTGTGTGTATATATCTGTATATGTGAATATATATGTGTGTGTGTATATATCTGTATATGTGAATATATATGTGTGTGTGTATATATGTGTGCGTATGTATATATCTATATATGTGAATATATGTGTGTGTGTGTGTGTGTGTGTATATATAATGCAGTTTGTCTGAGAGAATCCCAGTGGAAAATCAGAATGCTAAGGAGAAGAAACAAGCTCTTAAGCAAAGAAAGAAAATATTCCTTAATGAGATGCTGGTAATAATTTTGTAAAGTTTAAACAGTTAAGCTTTGAAAACAAAGCTATAGTAGTGAACTGCCTACTCATAAATCACTTCAGCACATTATAGAAACAGCATATTCTAATATTTTGTTAATGTAAATTGGAATCTGATGATGATATATAAAACTCACTTTCCTATATTTTGATCAAAAGAGGACTAACTGCTTTTTTTACTCTGCACAAAGAGCAAATTGTTTGGTTTGCTTATTTCTTGAGGCCAGATTGCTCTGGTGAGGTCTTGGTGAGGTCTTTTTGACTTAAAAACTGAAATATCTGTTAGTTTGAACTTCCTACTCACACGTAACTGTACAAAGAGAAGGAAAGAGTTGTTGGATTTTATGTTTTGCCATAACAGAGGGAAGGAAGTTGTAATGTTTATTGCAATTGTGTGGCATTCCAGAGACTTGAGTTTGTTATACCACAGATGCAGGTTGCTCCATTCTGAAATTGTGGGTATACCCTTGAATTTGAAGTAATTTTCAAACAGGAAGATTTAAATGTTGTATTTCTTCTTTTGCTTTATATCCCAGCTGTCTTCTGGATATCTAAATTACCAACCCACAGAGGGAATTTCCAGTGCATTCTGCCATTGCTTTAGCCCTAATTCAGTATTTACCTTCATGTCCAAACAGTTTTTCAGCTGATGGGACAACTAATTTTCACTGTATTGTAAAAGCATCTTTCTTATATTTGCAGTCTTACAGAGTGTGCATGTCAGTATCCTGGCATTTTTAGCTTGGTTGAAAATTTTGTCAGCCTAGTTAAAGGCCTGTTGGAGAAGCTGCTGGATTACCGAACTGTGATGAATGATGAGAGCAAGGACAATCGCATGAGCTGCACTGTGAACTTACTGGTATGTTCTTGCTTGTAATTCTTGTGTGAGAATGGGAAAGAGCTTCAGAATCTATTTACTAAAGATGAAGGTAAATCTTCCTGGGGACAGGAGTGGTTTACAATGCTCAGTAGTGATTGAAACTCTGAAGCAAGAGAGTTTTATATCTATTTGCATGGATATATGCGCAAACTGGAAAGCAATGTCCACTCAGTTCTTTGGTTTTGCTTCTATGTTTTATCCACTTTGATTCTGTGGATAAATAATGAAGTCTACTGCTCATGTACCTTTTGATAGGCTTAACATAGCAGTGGGATCTTGCTAGTCAAGTTTTGCATCCGGTTCTAGGCCACCTCGTCTTTTTTTCTATTCCTATTTTGTAATGAGGACGTTGCATCTAAAGATTCTTCCACCAGGAAATTCCTCGAAGCTGAAGAGGAACCTCAGTCAACTTTAAAGGCTGGAAAGAGAACGTGGTTAATAACTATTGCGTTCACATACTCCGTGCTATGTGGTATGAGTTTCTGCAGCTCTCCACGAGGCAATTCTTTCACATTTTGCATCACCTTAGCAACTCTGCAACCTGCAATAGTGCTATGGTGACAAAAATTAGCTTTATTCCTGGAATTACCCTTTAGAGGTATTGCACAACAGTGTTACATATCAAGTTCAATAAATATGAGCTTTTTTCTGGCCATCGTGTGTAGCCAGAGCATGTCATTTGTTGTGTCAGTACATTTGGATAACCGTATTTTCCTCTTCTCCAACAAGAAAATCTTTCAGTAAATATTGCATTAGTGAACTAGAAGAAGTATACATATGTATAATAATAACACGTACTTAATAACAAAATACTAATTGAAGCAGTAGTGCCAGGTTTAAAATTAAGATAGTAAAAAATGTATTTCCTGTGCTGTCCAACTAGCAAGAAAAGCAAAACCTAAGCATTTTTATCTTGTGTTTTAATAAAAGAGATTGGGATATAACTTTTAAATGTTTGTGTTCCTAGAATTTCTACAAGGACATTAACCGTGAAGAGATGTATATCAGGTATGGCAGTTGTTCTGCTGGATCTGTTTTGTAGAGGGCAATAATATTCTCTTACGAATTCTGTTTTTATCATTGTACTTGGATTTCTATTGCTTAATATTAGTTTACCATCCACAATGACTCTGTTGTAGCCCTGGCCTCATTTATATTCTTACTCTATTGTTTGCTTAGCCTTCAGCGATTTGTATTTGTATGAATCTCTAACATGCACTCAGCAGCAGCATTTTTTTCCCTAAGAATCAACTTTCAATTGATCAAGTCACTCAACATTCCTTGTCTATTGTTTCAAATGAAGAAAATGCAGCTAGATTTGAGGTTTGATGGAGGGTATATCATACATGCAGAATGCCAGAAAAAACATTCATGTTTTCTAGAATTGTGCAGTCTGTCAAGTCTCTTTAAATACGCAACACTACATGCAGTGGAGAATTAGGAGTAAAGGGATCTTCTGTAAAAGCTATACCTGTACTGGCAAATTCTCCCAGATATGACATGGCCTTTTCACCGTCTCCAAGGGTTTTGTATATGAGCTGCAGCAAATCTTGCTGTTCAAAAGCTCACTATTTCCTGCCTCTCCTCTCACTTTACAAAATC